AAACGACACAACTTTAGAAAACAAAAAAGATGGTATATCACTACTTGAAAATATTGTGTCGTTGATTTCTTATAAAGTACAGAAAGGTCTTCATTTTACGACTTTCCAAATTTCAAACGATGTTTGTTGAAAAAAATTACAACCATTTCTATTGACGTCAATAAATACTTATATTTTTTGACCATTCAATCTTTTAAATTAAATATCTTGCGAGCGAACAAAATCGAACAATTGTAGCTAACATTTTTTTATTGCTGAAGGTATGGTGTACATAGCATAAGAAAGAAATNGAAGATGGCTGGGAACTCAGCCGCACATGGAAGATGTTGGTGAACTCAACGAAGCCTTCTCCACCCGGATTTGACAAAACAACTTAGTTGATAATTAGACACTAATTAGTTATTAATAACCTTTTCATATATTTATTGTCAAATTTTAAAACGAACTCGTCACTTCGAACTTGTTTCTGAAGAAGGTTGCAACATGGCATCCGAAACGTCAAACATTTTTTCAAAAAACGCACGGCTTAACCCGAAAGATTTTAGTTCTAGGTCTAGTGTTAGTTCTTGTGATAGTGCTAGTGTCAGTTCTAGTTTTAGTCCTATTTTGCTATCTGTTGTAGGTATTGGTTTGACCAATAGTGTCTCTTAAACATCGTGACAGGACTGCTGCTTTATTTGAGTACATTAATATCAAAAGGACCATCTCCAAAACTACTTTTTTTCAGGAAAGCATAAACACAAAAATAAGGAAAGCAAAAATAAGTGTTCAAACATTTTACAATTGTTTTAGTTCCGGCTTAATATTTAAGATCATCATTATCTATGAATCAAAATGAAATATTACAAACATTTTTCTCAAAATTTTGAATTTAAGTTGGAATTTGGCCGGTTCTGACACTTTATTAATTTTATTTTTTTCTTTTACTTTATTTGTGTTTTTTACTCCATTATACAGAATAAATTGTATTTAACTAAAATTATAACAAAGATCACAAACTTAAAGGATAAAACAGAAATACATTGCGTAACACATTAAAGGATCTAATAAATTCTTGTTTTAGTTTCTTCTGGGGGTCTTTTCACAAAGAATATGCTGTAAAATGATATTCTTGTAAAACTCAAAGGAATCGATCTGCTGCTAATTATCGCCATAATGTTTTTTTAAAAGCTTATCAACATCGTGAACTTTAGAAACATTTAGGTTTCTTCCGGTAGAAATTTGTTTAGGATTTACTTTGTTTACATATTTTCCATTTCTACAAACTCTACTGTAACCCCCTAGCTCGGACTTATAAGTAAATTCTTCTAGAATAAGAATGCTATTCTTCTTTTGATTCCTTTTAATAAAACTTGAAAGGTGCTTGGAAGGTGGAAACTTGAAATGCCACTGCCCTGGTGGCTACATAATAGCATTAACTTAACTTTTCCAATTAAGATCAAGAACTTCACTTCCCAAGTGAAATACCTGGCCATAGCTTTGAAAACTGTATAAAATTCTATAGGGCGGAATAAATGAATGCCCAAGAACAGGGAAAATGTATTCTATTTTTTTAAAGGTTGAAGGCGGCTCGTGTAGGATCTACTTTCCAAGCTTTAACATAAGAATCGAATTTTTGTTTTGGCCTCCACAGCCATCTGTGAAGAATGTAATAGAGAAATTACTGTAAAATCGATATGTTGCAGTCTGTGGTAAACACAAGACGCTATTTCATTAGATCCTTTTGGTAACTTATGTTCTCCCCAGGTGTATAAAAAAGTGTTCTTTTTTAAAGGATACTTGGAACTACCTTGGACAATAGACAAGTTATATAAATAAAGCTGCCGGCTATGCATTTGAATTGCTTAATAAATGTTTTTATAGCAGCGCATTTTGAAGTAAACTTAGTAGTCTTTCCATCACCGCCCCTCTTTTCTTGTGAAATCTTACCCTCAAGAAAGTAACGTCGTGCCACTCCTTCTACCCATTATTACCCAGAACTTTAAGAAATGTTGGACGGCAGACATGCTTTGTAGCTTTTTTCCTTGATATTCGAAATCAAAAAAGTTAAGAAAAACGATTTTCCTGTCCTGCTGTTATCGACTGGTCTTCTTCGTCTGGTTAAATTCATCTGAATATGTTTTAGTATAAAAGAATCTTGTTTTAGTTTTTCCGGGGTACTGTAGTATCGTCTATGGAAATCGAAAATAATTTCTTTACTGATTGTTGAGCATCTGAAGGACTTTGTATTATGCCCACATGTAGGCATCTCCGGAGAAGTAGCTGATGAATATCTGTAAATAAATATTTGTGCACATACTCTCTAAAATTTACCGCCATTCCAAATCTCATTATTTTATCACGGTCTTTTGCACGATGGTGATCGTTTTTGGCGTTTCCGTGGTTTATCTGTTTCTTCTTCAAAGTTAATTTCCAAATTACACAATGTAATAACCGTAATAAACAAAAAATGAGCGTTTGTATGAGATACTTAAGGAGGTACCATCAATCAACGCTGCCGAACATCTGATCACAAATGGTTTAACGCATGCGCTGTGGATTTGGTACAAATAGCAGTGGAGTTGGCCGATTTTGCAACTCAGATCAAAATTTAGGTAACAATTTCCATGGGANTTGCGTAGTACTACTTCCGGTTGACGAATTTAATTCAAATTTTGACACAACATTACCCTTTTGGTCTTATAATCATATGCCAAGTTTCATAAAGCTAGCTAATTGCTAATACCAAAATAATATTTTCGATCGGGTTTTCTTACCGCTCGGACCACTGTTCGCCGTGCCAATCCTTCTACCCTGTGTTTAGTAATTGTTATTATTATTATTAGTGTTTAGTAATAACCAGAACTTTAAGAAATGTTGGACGGCAGACATGCTTTGTAGTTTTTCCTTAATATCCAAAATCAAAAAAGTTATCGACTGCTGTTATCGACTGGTCTTCTTCGTCTGGTTAAATTCATCGGAATATGTTTTAGTATAAAAGAATCTTGTTTTAGTTTTTCCGGGGTACTGTAGTATCGTCTATGGAAATCCAAAATAATTTCTTTACTGATTGTTGAGTATCTGAAGGACTTTGTATTATGCCCACATGTAGGCATCTCCGGAGAAGTAGCAGATGAATATCTGCAAATAAATATTTGTGCACATACTCTCTAAAATTTACCGCCATTACAAACCTCATTATTTTATCACAGTTTCTTTTGCACGATGCTGATCGTATTAGGCGTTTACGTGGTTTATCAGTTTCTTCTTCAATGTTAATTTCCAAATTACACCATGTAATAACCGCAATAAAGAAAAATTGAGCGTTTGTATGAGATACTTAAGGGGGTACCATCAATCAACGCTGTCGAACATATGATCACAAATGGTTTAACGCATGCGCTGTGGATTTGGTACAAATAGCAGTGGAGTTGGCCGATTTTGCAACTCAGATCAAAATTTAGGTAACAATTTCCATGGTATATGGTCTGCTTTGCCACAAATGAGAAAGGGAAAACATGCACAGAGCCATCTATAGTTTCAAAATAAAATAAAACCGAAAATGACAAATTGTGGATTTGGCCTGTTATTGAGCTGTTTTTCGGAATCCCAGTTATTTTTGTCTGTTCTTAATTTCCGCTTTTAGCTTCTCTTTCAAGATGCTAGCAAAGTTATTGATCTGTAGTTCAATGTTGTATTTTTCTACGTATATAAGCTTCTTTTGGTCATGATTGACCGTTCTATTATTATTTTGCATAAAACTAAATTGTGGTCAGTACCCAGGTTGGCTAATTTTAGGGTCCTCACATCTAATATTTGCTCTGTTTGTTGGAATGAAAGCAATCATGGGTCGTTGTTTTCTGGTGTTGCAGAAAGTATATTTGTGCTATTGATTCTCAGCTTATTCCTAACGCAAAAGTATTTACGTATTCAATGTCTTCAATATTCTCCGTACAATTTTCATGCAAGATGACCACTTTAGACTTTGCACTTTTCTGTTTCACTTTTACGCTGTACAATAAAATATAGTCTTCAAACATGGATGTTTTTTGACCTTTTCTTTCTTTCTGATATCTCACAAGTATCAACTTTGCGCTTTTTTATTTCAATAATAATTTCCTGGTGTCTATTATTTCTTATGATGTTACATTTCAGCATGCTATTTTGGCAGTATTTTGTTTCTTTATTAGCTTAACCATATTCATAGGGTTGTCGACTTTTTACATTTTAATTTATCTCTGCCTTAGGTGTAGGAGTTGAATTCATGGGTTGAATGACATTGAGATCCAAAGTGTTAATTGGTGGGATAACGTCTTTAGGAAAACTGTTCTTTGTAGTGGCTCCAGTCGATCGGCGAGGTAAATCACTTAGGAATTAATACCATTTAATTCGGCATTCTAAAACATATAACTATTAGCCAATAGATTCAGGATCGGTGTTCCTCCAAAATTTGACGATTCTCTCTGAGATTTCCTGCTATATATAATAAGTCAATAAAAGGTTTCTGTTCAATAACATTCCACAGATGTTGTCGAATAGAATGTGATGTCTCTTTCTGTGAAATGTTTATGTTTTATCGATTTTATATACTGCTTTGTATATTTATGATAGTTAAATGTTCAAGATGTCGTATGTATATAAATTATGCCAACAAACGGAATGTTGAGTAATAACATTGTCAGATCGCTACTCCTATCGATATTCCTCGGGAATGAATTTTTGGCCCACTTGGTATTCATCTTCTAACTCCTCAGCATCTTTTTCCAACTGACAATTGATGGAAATTTCTATGTTAAGAGGTGGTCTTAATTTTCTCCTGAGTTCACTAGTCCGTTGAAGCTCTTTGATAAAGAGGGCCTGAATTGCCCACATCCGTTCATGGATTCATGAATGTTTCAAATGTTAATACTTAATATGTATATGTCTATTAATATGTCTATAAGTTTATTTATTTTAACTAACAGTTTAAGAATTTTTTTTGTTATAAACTAACTAAGTAAAAATATCACTAATTTAGGTTTGATGTCTAAAACATCAAAAAAAAAATGACAATAAATTTTTTTTCGTGATTTCTCTAAATAATCTTTATTATTAAAGAAGGGTAGGTTAAATTTCGAATCTAAATTTTTAAAAATGTATTACTTGGATGAAACAAAATTAGAAATACACGAGGAAGTTGAAGAGAGTAAGTTTTTCTTTATCATTATTCTTTCTACTTCTTTTTATTTTTGAATGAAAATCGTTACCTAAATCGTTAACTAAATATGACGACAAAAGAACCGATCCGTTCTTTTGGTCACGACATCGTATTTTTTCGATTTGGCAACACGCAACATTCATAGGTACTGAAATAATCGAACCGAACGAAACGCGAACCACTTCAAAAACGATTCTCGAACGAAATGAAGGGTTTTTAAATAAATTCAAATAAGTTCGTCTTATTAAGTATTTCTTATTCCATTTTTTTTAGAATTTGAATACGTAGTTGAAAGAGAAGAACAAAAAAATGTTTGCTTTGGATCGTCGCAAAGAAGAAAGACGGGTTTTGTTGATGGAGGCAAATTGAGCAAATGTGGCCCTGGTTCTTACAATATTAAATCGGGAATAGATCAGTTTTTAAATAAGGTTACTCTTTTCAATTGTTTTCTTATTAAGTCTATGTTTGGAATACTTTATTTTTATATTATTTAAGGTAAGAAGCAAAAGAGGTGTACCTGGGTTGGCAAACTGCGCTCCAAGATCGGGAGGACGAACTGAACAAACTCCAAGTCCCACAAGATACGATCCTGAGCCTGAACGTCCACCAAGACACGACGGAGCTGCTCCATTTGACATAAAATGCTCACGGGGAAAAATGTTTATCAATAAAAATCCGGGGTAAATTTATTTTAATTAGTTTCTTTATCACATTCAATTTTAATTTTGCTTTAAAGACCTGGAACTTATACTACCGCAGTTAGAAAATGCCGACGAACGAGATTGAATAGTAATTTTGGAAAGCCTACTGTGATTCCGACGGTAGAAGAAGTGTGTATACCAACAGCAGTTGATACCTGCATAAAATGTTCAAGAGTTTGCGAAGGAGATTATTGGCAAAACAATCACACAGTTTTTTTGTGTCAGTGCTGTATGGCGGAAGAGGTCAGGTTACACGAAGTTTTCAATAAAGAGGAGCTAAGAAATTTTATCGTAAAAAACTGTTTCACGTTTTTAAAACTTAACTTCTAAAAGAATCAAACTTTTTTTCAGAAAATGAGAAATTGCTTCTATATACATCGACACGATGGCACAACCGCTGCGATAAGATTATTATCAAATTTTCAATTTTTCACAAGACATAAAATTGAAAATTATTTGGATTTGTACATAAAGTGTTATTAATAAATTAAGGTGATAAATAAAATGTTGTTACTATAATAATTAATAAATTTCACCATATTAATTGGCTCTACTACATTGTAGTCATTATTGATTGTCGTTTATAATAGACATTCTTTTCCTAAATAATCTTGTCCCTTCACTTTGATCTTAGCCATAGGTCCAAAAGCGATAGTATAATATTGACACCATACCGATATTGAATTAGGCAAAACATCGACTAAAGTATCGCCGAAGAAAGTGCAACTTCATTTGAATAAGTCGAAATCGCTTGCGGCCGAGGTTTTACAATATATAGCCTGTTTCAAAGTAAGCGCTTTAATTTTTTTAGCCCACACTATGGGTACTACTTTCAAAATATTTGGCAGTAATATGTTTTAGGGCATTCTCTACACGATGGTGATACCAGATTTCCAATTGGACGAATTATTTCAAAATGGCGACTTTCAACTTTTTTTTTAAATGGAATACCACATTTTTTTTTGATTATTGAAATTCTAAAAACATTCTTTTTACGATAGTATTTCGTTTTTCTTAAAAATTCATTTCTTTTCCCATTAAAAAGCAAACTAACATTTTAATCTAGTATGGCATTTTTTCATGGGATGAAAAATGCCATGAAAAAAATTGACTTAAGTAGTCGTAAATATTGACAAATAAATGGTATTATCCTTCAGTTTTAGTTCACATTTCAATTACCATATAATATTTATGTTATTTAAACTAAAATGTGATGGTTTAACCAAAGTAGATAGATCCTTCTGAAATTTGGTATAGGACCATAATTTTGAAAAACTTTTCGGAATAAACTTTTTCTGTATCAGGAACAAAAAGATTACTTTACTTAAGGGTCGATTACACGGAGATAGTTTACACGCCACTAGCGCACTTTTTTACTAGCTGCTAGTAAAGTAGTTCTGTGTAATTATGGTGGCGTGTAAACTATCCAGATAGTTAGCTAGCAAATATGTATGCGAGTAAAGTTAGAGACCGATCAACTTTACTAGCTACTAGCTNACACGATGGCACAACCGCTGCGATAAGATTATTATCAAATTTTCAATTTTTCACAAGACATAAAATTGAAAATTATTTGGATTTGTACATAAAGTGTTATTAATAAATTAAGGTGATAAATAAAATGTTGTTACTATAATAATTAATAAATTTCACCATATTAATTGGCTCTACTACATTGTATTCGTTATTGATTGCCGTTTATAATGGACATTCTTTTCCTAAATAATCTTCTCTCTTCACTTTGATCTTAGCCATAGCCATAGGCCCAGAGGCGATAGTATAATATTGACACCATACCGATATTGAATTATATATTGAATATATATATTGAATATATATATTGAATATACACTGACCGGCAAAAAAAACCGGCCACTAAAATGTAGCCACAATTTCAAAGCTGGCTTACTTGCGAACCATTCATTCGATTTTGATGATTCTTTTTTTGATCGAAAGATTGATTTATTTGTAATAATCCTGCGATAGAAATTTTTATGCGGATATTAATTTGAGCACATACGGGGTGCAAGAATGAGAAAACCTTTTTTTCTCGAAATTTGTAATACCCTGTGGGGTGCAACTGCTACAGCAGAGGGTGTTAACTGCAATCAAATAGTAGCCCAATCTTTTCTGAGCATTTTGTTTTTTTATTCACTCTATTATCTCTGTTACTAACGAAGATGCAGTATATTAAAGCGATCGCCTGTGAAAACAAGACGAGTGACAATAGTAGCTGATGACAGTTTTATTGTTCTAAGCAATCGTAGAACGACAGCTATAGAAGCTCGGTGTCGTCTTCAAATGGTGCATGTTGTTGATGTCAGTGAGCAATTGCGGCAAACTCTGCTTCAAAAGCAATTCGTAACTCGTGAAGGTTGTCCGGTAGGACAGGACGATGACGAATGCGTCTCTCAAGTTAGTCCCAAAGATATTCGATAGGGTTAAGGTCCGGGCTGCACGCTAGCCACTCTATCCGTTCAATACCCTACTTCATCAAGATTTTCGTTAACCACACGTGCTACGTGCGGTCGAGCATTGTCATGCATTAGCATGAATATATCACCAATAAAATGGGAATAGAACCTCCATGGAAAGGTACTCTTTCCGAAATTGTGCAGGTCGCAAACCTTTCATTACGATGTCTCCACACTCATTGTCGACCATCAGGTGACCGGAGACAAAATCGAGATGCGTCAGTGAAGAGTACCTTACCCCATTGTTCCTTTCCCTAATTCATATGTACGCGCCCAAATTGAAGACGTGTTCGCCGATGTCTCTGGAGCAGCTGAGGTCTTTTGGCAGGTCTTCTTGCAGTCAGATCACTTTTATGAAGTCTTCGGTGAATAGTTCTTTCACTTACGGCAACCCCATGCACCATTTGAAGACGATGCCGAGTTTCTACAGCTGTCGTGCTACGATTCCTCAGAGTGTTTAGAACAATAAATCGGTCATCAACTGCTGTTGTCACTCGTCTTCTACCGAAACCTTGCCGCCNTGCATAAAATGTTCAAGAGTTTGCGAAGGAGATTATTGGCAAAACAATCACACAGTTTTTTTGTGTCAGTGCTGTATGGCGGAAGAGGTCAGGTTACACGAAGTTTTCAATAAAGAGGAGCTAAGAAATTTTATCGTAAAAAACTGTTTCACGTTTTTAAAACTTAACTTCTAAAAGAATAAAACTTTTTTTCAGAAAATGAGAAATTGCTTCTATATGCATCGACATGATGGCACAACCGCTGCGATAAGATTATTATCAAATTTTCAATTTTTCACAAGACATAAAATTGAAAATTATTTGGATTTGTACATAAAGTGTTATTAATAAATTAAGGTGATAAATAAAATGTTGTTACTATAATAATTAATAAATTTCACCATATTAATTGGCTCTACTACATTGTAGTCATTATTGATTGTCGTTTATAATAGACATTCTTTTCCTAAATAATCTTGTCCCTTCACTTTGATCTTAGCCATAGGTCCAAAAGCGATAGTATAATATTGACACCATACCGATATTGAATTAGGCAAAACATCGACTAAAGTATCGCCGAAGAAAGTGCAACTTCATTTGAATAAGTCGAAATCGCTTGCGGCCGAGGTTTTACAATATACAGTCTGTTTCAGAGTAAGCGCCTTACTTTTTTTTAGCCACACTATGGGTACTACTTTCAAAATATTTGGCAGTAATATGTTTTAGGGCATTCTCTACCCGATGGTGATCTCTACCAGATTTCCAATTCCGTTGACTGTCCTTTCAACAAAATAGAGAAAATCCATCGTTGAAAAATCTCCCAATTCTATCACTAGCAAAATAAAAACCTTAATGTGTCAAAAGTCAAAACTTATTGTAGTCTTAAATCTTACCGAATAGATATAGTAGTCGGTTGGGTCGGTATTACAGGCGGCCTGTTTCTGTTAGTATTAGAAAACAAAATATCCAAAAAACATGCGAGGTGGCGCGACGTTTATTATTTTTTTTATTGACTACTATATTAGTTCGGTCGGACTTTCTTAAAATCGTTTATTAATAGAAAATCATTTATAAATAGGTGTCATTAATGAATGATTTTGTATACATTTATAAATCATATAAATACACAGTCGACGGAAAACTTTATATAATTGATTTTTATTTGCTTCATTCATGAGCTACTAGATTAAAATGTTAGTTGGCTTTTTGATGGGGAAAGAAATGAATTTTTAAGAAAAACGAAATACTATCGCAAAAAGAATGTTTTTTATTTTTTTTTTCCCAATAATAAAAGAAAAATTATGGCATTCCATTTAAAAAAAAAAAAGTTGAAGGTCACCATTTTGAAATAATTCGTCCAATTGAAAATCTGGTATCACCATCGTGTAGAGAATGTCCTAAAACATATTACTGCCAAGTATTTTGAAAGTAGTACCCATTACCCACAGTGTGGCTAAAAAAAATAATTTACATAAAAAAATAAGGCGCTTACTATGAAACAGGCTGTATATCGCATCAACCCAAAACTCGTAAGTATATCCTATCGTCTCGCCCACAAGCGCACTTGCTAAATCAACAGTATCCTATATCCTACATCCTATATCTTCAATTTAGCCTAGGCATTGTAAGATATGTTAACAAGATTCGCGCTGATATTGTATTAATGTAACGCCTCGAGAACCCGACAAGAACTACGTCTTCTGTCAATTATGGTTGGATTGTTTATGAAGAATTAGTCAAAAAGAGGTCGCTAGCGGTAAAAGCTCTATAGTTAATATCATACCAACCTAAAATTACTCAACGAATTGTAGTTAAAACTTATTAACACATCCTAATGCGAATCAGCCACAAGTGACCTTGACTAAACTGCTGATGAAAAACACATGATTTCAATGATTAGGGAAAGTTCTTCACCACGGTTATCCCCAATTTCGTTAGTATTTAAAAAATTACACGCATCAGGAATTCCAAAATATACAGTATGTCCCAGGATAGATGTTACAAGAGGTATAATGACTTAAAAATTTTAGAATTTTATTTTAAGGCTAAGGAATTAAGCCCTTGACGTGAGGAGAATTTTAAGAATATTTTCATATTTTGAAAATCAACTCGGCATTGATAGTGAATATTAAAAAATATACTAAAAAAATATACTAGAAAAAACTTCTTTAACTGGCTTTTATTTAAATATATATCGAACTAGTTTCCCAGATGCGAAACTAGTTCGCATCTGGGAAGGGAACAGAGAAAATTTGATGCGTTTTTTGAATTATTTGAATAAAGTTAATAAGAACCTGAAATTTACTATAGAAATTGAAGAAAATAATCAACTTAATTTTCTAGAGTTAAATTTAACAAGAACAGACAAAGATAAAATTGAATACAACATTCATAGGAAACCATCGACAACCATCTCAACAACTTTTCCTTATGATTCAGAGCATCCTATTTCACGAAAACTTGCCAATTTTAGATTTTGAATAAATAGAATATTTAACTATCCCCTCTCCGATCTGCTAGAAATTTTAGAAATTAACAAACACAAAAATAACAATAACTTCGAATTATTCAGCTTCAATTATATAATAAACCTATTTTTATGTGTGTTTTTTAAAAATAAACAATGTTTATACTCCAATATATTTTATAAATTTATTAACTCTACCGGTTTCGGCCTAGAGCATCGTCAGGAGTCTCGTTGTATAAAGTTGGGGTTGTTTTTATGTTCTATTGAGGTTATTTTATGTTCTGTTGAGGTTGTTCTATTTTTATGTTTCTAAGAGATCACAAAACAATTATATAACATGTTTATTTGCCCGGGTAGTTCAATGCAGGTTTAAAACCCGCTCAAGTCTTTTTCCCAGTTTCTTTGTTCTCATCTCACCGTCGACATCTTTTCGTTTTTGACAAAATTTTTAATATATTTTGATGTCGTACGTTAATTTTATACTTTGAGTTATATTGTGAATGTTTTTGTTGTGATTATTTATTTTTTAAATTTTAACGTTATGATAATGTTTTTCGTTTGAGTTTTTCGCTTTTCATGTAAGTATAAATTGCTTTGAAAATTTTGACTAAATTTTTTAAACTGTTTTATTTTAATGTGTTTTTCGTTTTTGTTACTTTCGACTGAAGATGAGGGTGTAACCTTGAAACTAGTCTCGATATATACAGGGTGAGTCAAACTTGAGAAATAGGTTATAAAACCTATTTCTTTCTTCCATTTCGAAATAGGTCAAATAATTTTATAACCTAAAATTAATATCATCTTAAATCATCGCGTTAAATCATCTTAATTTATTGTCCTCTATATGTCCCTGCTCCGTGTCGGTTCTTATGTGAATCACCCTGTAAATAAAAGCAAGTTAAAGAAGTTTTTTCTAGTATATTTTTTTAATATATTCCCAACTTGCAACATGGATAAAATTCTTAATTGATAGTGAAGCAAAAACTATTTTGAGTTCAGGTAAAGTAAGCTTTTTGTTCATGATACGGCAAAATATCATTAAGAAAAGTTGTTCAGAATGAGAAATTATGGCACTATGGAAAATTTCAGAAAGATCTACCTAGATTGATTAAACCACCATATTTTAGATTAGATCAGAGTGAAGAAAAAAACAATGAAAAATGCCATGAAAAAAAAAATGACTTAAGTAGTCGTAAATATTGACAAATAAATAGTTTTAATTCACATTTCAATTACTATACAATATTTATGTTATTTAAACTAAAATGTGATGGTTTAACCAAAGTAGATAGATCCTTCTGAAATTTGGTATAGGACCATAATTTAACAAAACAAACAACTTTACCTAAACTAAAAATAGTTTTCGATTCATTATGAAGGCTGCTTTTGTTTTCAAGTTATGAAAATATTCTTAAAATTCTCCTCACACCAAGCAGGGCGTAATTTCTTAGCCTTAAAATAAAATTTAAAATTTTTTAAGTCATTATACCTCTTGTATCATCTATCCTGGAACACACTGTATGTTAGTTAAACAAGAAATAAAAGTAAGTAACAATGTTTCTGTATATCAGAAACCTTATAAAAAATTTTATAATAAAAAGATAGAACATACACTCCCCCGCTGCTATTGATACCATACTGATAATAAATTCAACAATAAACATTGGAGCACCTCGACCGCAAGCGGCATCGTCTGAACGCAAGACGGAAGATATAGGATTTGCGGCTGAAGTATCCCTGGAGCACCTGGGCTGCAAGCGACTTCGGTTAAAGCATGTTTGAAGAAAGTGGGGGCTTTCATTACTACTTTCACTATACCAGTTCAAGTGGTGTCAAACTTTTTGACGTGCTTGTGTAGTCTCTGTTGATATGTCCGGGCATGGTCTTTGAAATAGTTCCTCTGAATACTTTATTCTGAAAGTGTTTGTGACCTTTGAATGTCAAAAGTCCACACTAGTTTGAGAACTCGGTGATAAAGCATAAGGCGGAATATCTGTC